TGTAAATAGTATCTTCTGCTAAAACAAAATCCAGTGTTGTAATCATTAGTTTCTGGTACATTGAAATATAGTTGATTTATAGTTGAAATACAATTAATACTAGCATTGTGTCTGACAGTCTTGCTAAATTCACTTACTAGTTGTAATATTTTAATAGTTTAGAACCATTCTTTTGGATTTTCTATGTACATAACCACACTATGTGACAATAATGATAGCTTTATTTCTTTCCAATTCTTACACTTGTTCTTTATTTCTTGCCTTGTTTTCACTGGCTGAGATCTTCAGCACACTGTTGGACAGTGGTAAAAGCAGACATCCTTTGGCAGGCCTCACATCATAGGTATGGGCAGGACCCCTAACCAAGCAATCCATGTAAATATCACCAATAATGGAACAAATCAAAATCATGATTCAGTTACTAGAATGCAATTAGAAGAACATGGCATCACTTCTGTGAGATTCCTACTGAAGATGCATGACCTGAATGGAAATGTGAGGAAACCTCAGATAAACACAAACTGAGGGACAGCCTACAAATAACTATCCTGCAGTCTTTGAAAGGTTCAAGGTCATGAAAGTCAGGGAACTGATGAATTGTTCTAGACTGAAGAAGACTAGAAGTTCTAGATTATAGAGACATGATGACTAAATGCAAAGAGTGACCTAAAGTGGATCCTTTTGCCAAGAGCATTCATTTTTGGGACAATTTGCAAAATTTGAATCCATTCAGAGGATTAGATGGTAGTAATACATCAATGTTAACTTCCTGATACTGATGGCTATGTATAAGATCCTTGTTTATAGGAAAATAAAGTATTTTCTGAAGTATTTTGGAGGTAATAGGGTATCATATCAATAACTTACTCTCAAATTGTTCAGGAAAACATTTCTTGGTTCTTTACTCGCAACTTTCTTATAATTTTGCTTTGAGATTGTCTCAAAATAGAGAAGTTAAAACAAAATAATCCCAAACACTTAATTCCAGAGAGGACCACCAGGTGGAGTCCTTAGACCAGAGAGCCAGTTTTACTTGGCTCTTCAGTTCTGGATTAAAAGAAGGGGTTTCTTTGATAAGGGAAAGAAAGCTCTTTCATCTGGGCTGCCAACATGCCATCCAGACTGAGGAAGACCCAGGAACTTCAGGGCCACTTAAGGCACAGCCACGGCCACATCAGCAAGCACCGGAAGCACCCAGGAGGCCAGGGTAATGCTGGTGGTATGTATCACCATCGAATCAACTTCAAACAAATACCAGCCAGGTTACTTTGGAAAAGCTGCTATGAGGCATTACCACGTGAAGAGGAACGAGAGCTCTGCTGAACTGTCAACCTTGATAAACTGGACCTCAGTCAGTGAGCAGACACGGGTAAATGCTGCAGAAAGAAGGGGCGCCTGGGTGACTCAGTCGGTTAGTGTCCGACTTCGGGTCAGGTCACGATGATCACAGTTTGTGGGTTCCAGCCCTGCGTGGGGCTCTGGGCTGACAGCTCGGAGCCTGGAGCCTGCTTCAGATTCTGTGTCTCCCTCTCTCTTTGACCCTACCCTGCTCACACTTTATCTTTCTCTCTCAAAAATAAATAAACATTTAAAAAAATACTGCCAGAAACAAAACAGGAGCTGCTCCTGTCGTTGATGTGGTGCGATTGCGCAACTACAAAGTTTTGGGAAAGGGAAAGTTCCCAAAGCAGCTTGTCACCTGAAGGGCAAATTCTTCAGTGGAAGAGCTGAGGAGATTCAGAGTGTGGGAGGAGTCTGTCCTGGTAGCTTGAAGCCACTTGGAGGGAGGTTCATTAAATACTAATAAGTGCTTTAAAAAAAAAAAATAAGTAAAGGAAAGTTGTATGGGTTTCCTTTGCTTCAGCATATGAACAGGATATAAACTGTAGGTGGTTTTATTCATTTTAGGATATCCCTATGAAGTTGAGAATAGAGTACCTTTTTAAATTTCATTTCTTTTGGGTAGGGTTTCTTAGCCTCAGCACTGTTGACATTTTGGGGCTAAATACTTCTTTATCATGGAGCTACCTGTGCACTATAAGATGTTTAACAGTATCCCTGGCTTCTACTCATGTCAGTACATACCTCCAATTGTGACAACCAAAAATGTCTCTAGACATTGACATGTATTCCCTAGGAGACAAAAATCAACAGGTTGAGAACCACTGTTTTTGGCAACAGAATGTTCTCTGCTCTGAGCACTTTGGTTCCTCTGTGCTCAGCAGGGAGCCTAGGAGGTATCTGATCATGCCTAATGTGGCTGGTACATAGTGTGTGCGTGTCGGGGCAGGAGGAAGCATTGGGTGGTGGGAACTGAACCCCAGGACCTGGAGTTCTGGTAGGTGCTCAGTGCTGTATCACCTAGCGGTACTGTTCTGTGCACAGACAAGCCACAGAGACTGGTGTGTTGGGAAAGGCCTTGGGCAACCAGTCAGAAAGGATAAGACCTGGGTTCAAGGAGGGAAAGCGGCAGAGAAGGCTGGGGTAGGAGGCAGACTTCTTTCCCACAGCAGCCAGAACCCCAATGCCTCCTAGCTCTACAGGCAGAACCTTAAGATGCTGGAGAACAGCCTTGGTTTCCCATTATCCCTGCTTGTTCCCATTCAGATGACCTTCTTTCTACTTTACTTCTCCACCTCCTTCCCTTTCCATCCTCTGATCTGGACCTCTACCCCCCATCTGCTCGCAGGGGCCCCAGCATACCTTAAGCATTCAAGGTTAAGGCTCTCTTCAGCCATATTATGGTGATTCAAATGCAGTGGATAGTAGTCTCCCCAAATTCAAGAGCGCTCTAGTGCTGGCCATATTTAGAACATGTTGCCCTTTTGGTTTCTTTAAAGTTCAATTATGCCCCCATCCCCATCCCCTTTCTATCGTAGGTGTATCTTCTGTAAAAAGTGCAGTTTTCCCCAGCCCTTTGAAGAGTTACAAAGTATACTTTGTAGTGGCCTGAGCGGGATACAGATGAGCACCTGGGGACCACTGTGAGGTGCCAAAGAATTTGGGGACAAGGTCAGAAAACTCACCTCCTGGAAATAGAGTCAGTTTGAAACAAATGGGTCATGGCTGAATTTGGCCAACTGCAGAAACAACTTCCCCTCTGGCAGAGAGCCAGCCTCCCTACCTAGGGGTGAAGGAGCCACCTTGCCAGTGTGTGGCCTAACACAAGTCACTTCACCTCCATGAGCCTCAGTCTGTGAAACAACAGATTTAGAGGAGGTGATCCATGACTTTACCACGTAAAACAAAATCCATAAACATGTCCTGCCCCTACTGAGTCCAAATATCCTTGAGGTTGGGTGATTTGTGAACAGGCATTTGATGGGGTCAGTCCTTTTTAACAAGGTGGTGTTTTGTCCTTAGGATTTTGTGAACAGCTTCTCAGCTTGCCACCACCCTCATCAGCCCCAGGACCAGCTGGCCCACCCACTGTGAGGAAGGTACATGTGCTCTGGGGCTGCTTGGTTGGCTTTTTGTAGCTGGTCTGCTTTGGGAATAAAAGGAATTTCTGATTCAGCTCCAAACATGTTAGACCATAGTTCTCCATGTTCAAAGAGCTCTAGGAGCAAAAATGGTGCCTTGCACAAGAAGCACCTAGCAATCTTTGGTTTTAAATTTTTTTTAAAGTTTATTAATTTTGAGAGAGAGACAGCATGAGTGGGGGAGGGGCAGAGAGAGAGAGAGAGAGAGAGAGAGAGAGAGAGAATCTCAAGCAGGTTCCGCACTGTCAGCACAGAGCCCTACTCGGGGCTCAAACCCACAAAACCATGAGATCATGACCAAAAGTTGGACACTTAACCAACTGAGCCACCCAAGCGTCCCAGCAATTGCTGGTTTCAATGAGATGTTAGTCTTATGGGGGAAGTTGAACCCTTATCAATATTCTGCCCAGCTCTGGCTACTGTCTCCCAAACACACTCATTCCTTCGTTGCCTCACCTTGACAGCTCCAGTCGGTTGATGCTTATGGTGGGCAGCTATCGGGTTGTGTGGCCTACCTACCCCTACGTTCTAAGAGCTGCACATCTCTCCCCTCCTCCGGCTCTGAGGTCGCCGGAAAGTTCCTGCAGCCGTGTTCTGCTGTGCAAACCTGTGTCCGTGGCACAGCTGATGGGGCTGGATGAACACTGATGCAAAGCAGGGTAACCAGGGCCAAGCAGCAGATTCAGAAAGTGTGCTTAGGGAGTTTGAGTTGCACCAGTTTCGCTTGGAGATGTCAGTGGTCTCATTTGCCCCAATTGGAGAGTGAGGAGGACATGCTGTGGTGCAATGGAGGTCCTGGTGACATTTAATGCTGGCACCAGAGTTCCCAAGGCCCAGCTGCACCCTTCCTGGAACTCGGAGTCAACCCCAGATTCCTAAAACAATGCCCCTCACCCACTTTTGTTTTTTTCCTAGCCATAATTGTAAATAAAAACCAAAAATCTGGGGCGCCTGGGTGGCTCAGTTGGTTAAGTGTCTGACTCTTGGTTTTGGCTCAGTTCATGATCTCACGGTTATGTGAGCTCGAGCCCCACTTGGGATTCTTTCTCTCTCTCCCTGTCTCTCTGCCCCTCCCCCACTTCTGTCCCCTCTCTCTCTCAAAATAAATAAATAAACGTTAAAAAAAATTGCTGGATTCCCAACAAGTACAAGCTTCTGACCTCAAAGAGAGGCCATGGTAACAGTCCCATGGAACACAAAACCCATGGGTGCAGGGATTTCAGTCACTTTGAAAGATAAGCTGTGACCTAATTAAGTCACACTGGGCAGCTGTAGGTGAAGAGGCTTGCAGTCCAGACTGTGGAGGGCACTCCCTCAATAGATGGCAGGTATCCCTGCACCAAGCCCCTCCACCCAGCCAGGCTGTTGTGGCCTGAAGAAGGTCTGTTACCAAAGGACACCTTGGAGCTCTAGGATTTCCCCCATGACGTCGTTACATGAACATTTGCTAAAGCTCAAAGACCTTCTACTTAATGACATCAGATAGACCCAAAACCACAAAGAAAGCCATTTCACACATTGGTCAACACCTACATTTAATCGTTGTGTCTTGGAAAGAAATACAGGCGTCTTGGTCATGGGATGTTAACTCTTTTATTAACTTAGGGTTAACATTGTATTTGCTCTGTGGATTTCTTTTTTGAAGTTGTGGATTCAATAAACAGCTGGGTTTCCCCCAGCTCCTAGGGGACAAGGCAAACGCATTATAGTCAAAGAGGGGAGCAGGACAAAATGGAGAACAAGCTTGAAAAAATTTAAGGCAAATGTCACTCCCATATTAAAGGGAATTGATCAAGCATATCTGTGCATTTCAATGAAAATATATGAAATATCTGTCAAAATAATTAACATCGGTAAAAATTAGAACATGTAGCTTATAAAATGCCTACACAGGTTTGGCAGAAATAAATCCAACCGTGTCATTAGGCTCATAGTACACAGACACAGGAGCATCTACCTTAAGAACAAGTTTCCTGAAGAGCAGAGGCCAAGTGTATTTCAAAAGCAATTCCACGAAATGGGCGGTGATAAGATTAATGATTCACGGGTTGGGTTTACATTTTGGCAAGAGGAATTGCTTAGTCAATGGGGCTCCTCTCGGCTGGTCCCTGGGATGCTTCCTGGGGACCCTCCCCAGAAGGCTCTGTATCAAGTAGAGGTGATCATTCGGGCCAGGAGGCTCCCAGAGACGTGGTGACAAGGGGCGCTCAGCTCACCTACGGGACAGTGCGGCAGAGAAACAAAGGGTCTTCCCGTCCAGATTTGGAACTGGGACGTTCTAAGACATCGCTGCAGTTCCAGAAGTAGCTGACTGTGTAGGAATGGATGCTCCATCCCCAGTGGTCATATATTTTATGCCCCCCAAGTCTATTTTATTTACAGCCTGACCAAACCGTCCCCAGGCTGCTCCGCGGCAGGTGGGGGAGTAGGTGCGCGCTCGGCCGGGCATCACGCGTGGGGATGTCCCAGGCCTGGTGGGTGAGATTCACTGTGAGGCTGCACAAAAGCACGGGGAGAAGAGTGGTGTGTGAAGCCAAGCATCTTGCCTTTCTGCTTTGGTCTTGAAGATTCAGTAAACTTAGGGTCCCAGAGGCTGCCCCGAAGCTGGAGCTATGGATTCCCAGAATTCTTTGTGTTTCCATCTTAAGTTTGCCAGAAGAATGTAGCCAGCAAGCAGAGTTTGAGAGCCTGTCACTGTTTGAAGAACACCCCCTTATGGCCCACCACCCATCTGGGCTGGGTGCTCAGAGATGCTGCAGAAGGACCTTGCTCCTGGGGAGATAAAGCTGTCAGACGCAGGGCACCCCCCAAACAGGCTGTGGCTGACGGTCTGGAGAAAGGCTGCTGAACGGACGGACGGACGGACAGGAGGGACCCTGCCCCCTGCCGTCGGCTGGGTGCCCCTACCCAGCCAGGAGGCACGTGCGGCAGCAGAACTGAATGAACAGCTTCCGTTCACAGAGCCGGTTGGACTTCACCATCTCGCAGAACATCTCGTCAGCTGGGGTCCCACCAGGAAAGAGAAAGGAGGGATGTGTCAGACTTTGGGGCCTGACATGTTCCAACCATCCCATTTCACCAGGCCCCAGCGATGGGCTGGGCAAGGGTCATGGAAGAAGCTGGGGGCGGCAGCCGGGGTGGCCGTCACGGTCTTCCTGGGACATGTGGCAAGCCTGGTGTGGCAGAGGGGACATGTGGCGTACGGAGCGCCTGGGTGGCTCAGTCGGTTGAGCGTCCGACTTAAGCTCTGGCCATGATCTCAAGGTTCGTGAGTTCGAACCCCACATGGGGCTCGCTGCTGTCAGCACAGAGCCCACCTCGGATCCTCTGTCTCCCTCTCTCTGCCCCTCCTCCTCTTGTGCTCTCTCAAAAATACATAAACATTAAAAAAAAAAAAAAAAGAAGTGGCACCTAGCATGCAGGGGCTCATGCTGGGTATAGGGGATGGGGGGAAACTGAGGCAGGGTGGAGGATGAAGCCAGGCCTCAGTGCTCCTGTGCATCTATCTTCCCAGACAACTGTGGTGGTGCAGGACTTCGTAGGAAGACTCTGGGGGGTGGGGCTAGGGTAGGAGGGCAGGCCTGGGACAGGTCTGTGTCCTGTGGCTGTGTTCTGTCTGGCGGCTGCTCTTGTGTCCAGGGGGCTCCCCAAACTGAATGGGATGGGAGGGAGAGAGTCGTCAAGGCGAATGGAAAAGGGCAGGGGAGGAGGGATGGAGACCAGCCCATCCCAGCTGGCTGCTGAGTTTTTGAAGAGGCCTCATCCTTGATGGGACCTGGGAGCCCCTCCCGAGACTGCCCCGCTTTCTTGGGCTGTATCTATAACCTGAGTAGGTGACATGCTACAGAGGGAGCTTCCTACTCTGAAAGCACACAATTCTGCAAACCAAAGAGAAAAAACAAAAAGAAAAAACAAAAAAAGACCAAACACCAAGGCAAGGAGGCCACACTAAAGTGTGCAGGACATGCTGGTTTGTGCTCTGCCATGGCAGGGCCAGTTACAGCTCCGAGCCCAGGGATGCCGTGGGGCCACCAGCTTTCTCCCCCGCACACCGGTTTGAGGTGCCCAGAGCTGGCCTGCGATGCTCCTCCCGGTGGCTCGTTGAGCATGGAGTCTTCTGGCTCACTACTCCTGCACCAGGTCCCCGGGCCAGAGTCCTCTGCCTGGAACCCCAAGCTGGTCTTTGGTCTCCCTCAGAGTTCCTGTCTTCACAGCTCATTCTGGTCTGCAGTGGGCCTAGAGATCCAGGGCTCTCCCACAGCAGATGTGGGGCTTTCCTGTGGGACCTGGGGGGCCCCGAGTCTGGGCTCTGAGGCTGACACCCTCCAGGCCTCCTGGCTTCGACCCCCAAAGTCAGGCCTCTTCTAACAGGACTCACCGCACCCAGGCCATTGGGCTTATGGCACAAGAGTGGGAACGGTACCAGAACAAAATCAGCTTTAAGACTCACTTGGCAAATGGACCGGCAGTAGCTTGGTGGCCAGGATGCCTCCCTGGTCAATGTGAGGGGCCCAAAGGGACAGTAGGAGGCTATGAGGCATCCCTGATACTGGGGCCAGCACACCCATTCAGAAGGGCTACTGTTCCTGCCTCTTCTCCTTCTCTTCTTCTCAGCTCAGTGAGCTGAGCTCCTCCAAGGGCAGCCCCGAGGGTAACTCACGTCCCCCCATTCCCTCACTGGTGCTCACCATTGCTGCACGTATGGTTGGTGATGCACGTGGTCCCCAGCAGCGTGAAGCCTGTCTTACACCTGCTACAGTTCCTGCTGGAGCCTTCACAGCTCAGGCAGCTCTCGTCACACCTGTGGGAGGACACGGGTTCATGACGCTGCTTGGGGAATGGGCCCAGCCACTCCAGGAGCCCCCTCCTGGAGCCCCCCTACCCTCTTGCACTGTCTCCACCTGCAGCTGTGGCCACCATGATGGCCTGAAACCCCAGCCAAGCATCTGCACATCCTACCTCCTGTCTGACTGCACTATCGCCCCTGGGAGAGTGAAGTCAGCAGGAGCATGCCTGGAGTGGCAGACAGGCCCAGGTCTCTGAGACTCCCTGTGGCTCACCTGGACACCTTCTTGGATACTGTGCCCCCCGCCCCCGCCACCAGGTGGCTCCTCAAGCAGCATCAGCACATGCACCCTTGGGCAGCTGCCCAGCTCTGATGGCTACAGGGTTGGGATGCAGGGACAGGGGCGTGGCAAAGCGACCCTGGAGCTGGCCTGGGGACTGCTGTTGCCCATGAGGCTGAGTTTTCTTTGCGTGATGCCAGCCTCCCTCCAGGGCAGGCAGGCAAGGTGAGGATCTTCCAGTTCTTGCCCTGAGATGGGACCCAGGGCTCTTTCTAATGCGGAGTACGGTGACCTCAGGGGAGGGTTGGCACACCATGGCCCTCAAGCCACATCCAGCAGTTTTACTGGAAGGCAGTCACTGCTCATCTATGTATCATCCGTGGCTGCTTTCACAGCGGCAGGACTGAGTAGATGGGACAGGGACCATGTGGCCAGCCAAGCCCAAACTACTCACCACGGGGCCCTCTACAGAAAGAGCTTGCCAACCTGTCCCTGGGGCTTGAATGTGAACCTCACCTCCTCCGGACCACGTGCGGACTGGGGCTGCACCTGCCACCTTTTCTGGGGCCACTTTGGTGAGTGGGTCTCCCAGTGCTCCAGTCTGCCACCCGGCTTCCCCACGGATGCCAGCTGCAGGTGGAACAGGCCCCAGAGGTGGAGCTCAGGCAGGGCGGGTGGGGCATCCGGGGCAGGAGCCTGGCTCAGATGGCTCCTCCATCTGCCCTGTGTGGCCAGTTCTTTGCTTAGGACAGATGCCACCCTCCCAGTCAGGGACTAGATGCTATCAACAAAGGCTCCTATAGGCCTCTTTCCAAAGCAGCCATCCACTGGGTTCTCATTTCACCATTGATTCTGACTACATGGAGCCCTGGTGGGTCATGCCCTCAGCCTGCTCTTCCAGTGCAGGATGCCCCAGACTGGAGTTCAGGCCCGTAGTCTATATTTATAAATGTGTAAATCCCACAGGCAAACTTGCTCTTCTGACTTCCTCCTCCTGTAGCAAGAGCTTTCCCCCCCACCACACCTCCCTGCCCTACAACCTGGAGGGAGAGTGGGCCCTGCCATGTGGGACCCTGTTTCTGTGCACTCTGGGGAAGCCACTAAGGTCTGGACTCTGTCCTGCTGCACCTTCTGGTGGCCCAGCCACAGACCCTTGACGCCACAGCACAAGGGATGACTTCCCCTGGGAACCCTTGGCTTCTTATACAGACCACCCCTGTGGGACCGGAACTAGGGCCTAGCCTGTTTCATGAAGATGCTTCAAAGGCCCTGGGCCAGCTTTCCCAGGCCCTGGCTGAGGGCAGCTTCAATGAAACCATGGGTAGAGCGTGCTAAGGTGGAGGGCCACCTGTGCATGGCTTACTTTCTCCAGATATAAGCTGGCCACGTCAAGGGTCTCCCTGCCAGCCCCCAGTGGCACTGAAGGTGAGTCAGTTTTCTATGGCTGTGTAACAAGCTACCACAAACCCAGCAGCTTAGAACAGCCTCATTCACCATCTCCCAGGTCTGCAGGTAGAATCCTGGGCAGGCTCCGACCTGCTCCCTGCTCAGGGTGTCACAAGGCCCAGGTCAAGGAGTCAGCTGGGCCGGGGCTTAGATCTGGAGGCCCCAGCTCAGGGAGAGAATCCAGCATCACGCCGCCCCCAGGGAAGGATGATGCCCCCCATCACCCCGGTAACACCGCACCCCCACCCCCAGCTGCCTTGAGGTCCCTGCTTCCCTGAAAGACCCTCTTGACTCCTCTCTGTCAGGATTACCTGCCCAGCAGGTAGCCCTCTCAGGCAGGGGGCTTTCAAAACACCTCTGGTTCTGTCACTTTCTATGGCACCCACTTCCCCACAAAACACCATGGCAACTTTGCCCTGCCAGACTCTGGAAGGACAGGCATGTGCACCGCAGCCCCTTTTCCGTGCTCTATTGCACGGGCCACGTGTCCTCGCCTTCCTTTTGCCTTCAGGCTGTTCCAGGCGAGAGTCAGACAGCAAGTCTTCTCATCCTCCAGTGTGGGCACAGAATACAGCAGAAAAAAATGCCTGAAGTCTCTGCCTCCCTGAGCACCCAGGAGGGGCCAAGGGAGCGGAGAACAGTGGGGAAGACTGGGGGCCTGAGGGGCTAGCTACCCCTCAGGCAAGTACCCCACTGAATTGCTCTCCAGAGAGGTCCTTGCTCACTCTTCTGGGTTCTCTTACTAAGACTTGGGGGTGTCCAGGGCCTCTTTTGAGATCCTTACCATGGACTGTTCTCCACTTTGGGCCTCAGGTTCACTGGTCTTCCTGGCATCCTGGTTGCCAACCCAGCAGGCCTATGTTCTGGGCTGGCTTTTCCACATATGCCCCCCCATATGGCTGTGTGGCCCAGAGCTGCCCCACGCCTACCAGCAGGGGCCAGCCACAGCGCTTCTCAGCATCCTGGGGCCTGGAGGAAGCCAAACCCTAAAAGCTGCTGCTGCCTGAGTGGGGAGAGGCCCTGCACAACCAAGCAGACCAAGACTATTCTTCCTTCAGGAGGGATCCACATCAAAGGGGTCTTCAGAGCCAGGGCACTCGAAAGACAGAAGCTTCCTGAAGGGCTGGCATTTCACCACCTCAACGCCTTATGCAGGGCTCCTCCTAGGGGTGTATCTCCAAGATCTGCTGTGGGAGCCCTAGCACTGGACTGGAAGCTTCCCCTCCTGTGGAGGTGAGCACCCAGGAAGATGCTGTCCCCCACTGTTGAGAAGGGGCTTAGGGGGCTGCCTACCTCTTGCTTCCTGGGCTGGGGACACCATAGTTTCTGGCTTACCAGAAAAACCAGGGGGGCTGGTTACCACACTCATGGGGATGCCCAGCATCCTGTGGGATCCTGGGCATCTGACAAACAAAAGTGATTATCACTGGGGTGTCTGGGTGGCTCAGTCAGTTAAGTGTCTGACTTTGGCTCAGGTCATGATCTTGCAGTTGGTGAGTTCAAGCCCTGTGTCGGGCTCTGTGCTGACAGTTCAGAGCCTGGAACCTGCTTCAGATTCTGTGTCTCCCTCTCTCTCTGCCCCTCCCCCCCCTCAAAAAAATAAATAAATAACAATAACCATTAAATAAAAGAGAGTATCACTGTTTAATTCCATGTGCTCCCTGGCTGCTGTACTTAGTATAATCACCCTTGAACCAATGGGCTGGTACAAATGAAACACTTCAGACACCCATCCGAGGGCCCCACAGAACTCAACAAGGCTGGTGCCAAGTTTCCTGTTTCAAATCAGCTCAAAAGAGGAGGCTGATGCCTGCACAGATACATAACCCCCTGTGGGGACCTTCTTTTGTGAGTCAAAAAAGTGCAAGGATTTGGTGGTCTCTCTCGGGCAACTGTGGGGTTTTCTGGTTTTGTGAGAACAGATTAGAACCCAGAGCAGTGTTCAAACACAGACTGTGGAGGCAACCCCAATGTGGGCTCAGCTGTGACCTGGAAGACAGGGCTGCTCTAACAGGGTCCCCGAGGGCTCCCTTGTTTTGAGGCTGTTTCAGAAGGAGGCCCCTCCCCCACCCCCACCATCATTATCAGCAAGGCCACCTTCCAACACCTCATTATCGGCTGCCCTGCCTGTCCTGGGATCTAGGTTATGAAGTCCTGGTGTAAGGCAGTAACTATTCAGCAGCAAGACAAGAGGATACCCAAGCAAACTTCTTTCATTGCCCATGTCCAATGACAAAGAGAAAGAACCAGACTGGGTTGGAAGCCACCAAATAAGAATGGCACACCGTGCGGACACACAGGAGAATGAGAAGGGTTACAGTATATGTTCATTGACTGCATGGCAAGTGGTTTTAGAATGAAGACATTGTCTGTACCTAAATTTTCTCTAATTTAAAATGAAAGAAATCCCCAACACATGAATTCCTTCGTTACTACCAGCATGGGTGCATCTTGGGCTGCAGCAGGGAGTTGCTCCCATGGAGTCTGCTGTGGTGATGTGAGTACCGCCAGGCAGGCACCTTATTATCCTGCTTCCTGCCCCCTCCCAGCTAGAGTGCCTGGCACACAACAGACACTTGTTAAATGAACCAAGGAATGAAAGCCACCAACGAACTTGTGACCTTGGCAATCGCCAACCACAGGGGGTCCCTCCTCTGTAAATGGGGTCTGGCACCCCCACCGTAGCTCCCGCACCCTCTGCAGCTGTGTGATGTGGCACCCTCCCCCAGGCCCAGGGAAGAGGCCACCAGACTTGGCCCTCCGGCTCCTCCGTTGCTGCCCCAGGCAACGCATTCCCTAGCAATCTTGGTCTGAGCCAGGAAGACTGAAAGAATTGCGTACCTTCGGCACACTTTGTGGGGCAAGCCTGGCATCTCCTCTGGGTAGAAACCTTCGCCACAGGCTGGCACACATTTCCAGTCTTGGAAGTGGAAGTTTGCTGCACAGTGAATACATTCTTCTCTGCTGGGCCCTGAGGAGTGCAGGGACAGAAGCAGATGTCAGGGATGCCTGCCCATTACCATGTTCCAGGTCTGCCGCGGTGCCCTGGGGATCTGGGGTCTTGTTTGGATGCCCCTGTCCACCACCACAGCCAGGTTTCCCAAATGCCCACCCTGTGTCTGCACCGGGCCTCCCTGCACCCAGGGAGGGACGTGGAGGCATGAGCCAGGCCCAGCACACCTCCCACTGCCCGTGCCGTGTTTGATGGCCCCCATTCCAAATGCTTCCTTGCCAACAAGCCTCGGTCCCACTTCTTTTTGCTAGAGGTAGCCACGTGTGGCTTGGAGCGCTTGAAATGTGGCTGGACCAAACTGAGACATACTGCAAGTGCAAAATACAGACACACTGGATTCCAAACACTTCGCATAAAAACAGAATAAGAAAGTCCTTGTTCATTTTTCAATGTTGATTACATGTTGAGATGACAGTATTTTAGACACAGTGGGTTAAATAAGATGTTATTATACTTATTTTTGCCTGTTTCTCTAGGAAATTTAAAATTGGTTCAGCGGCTCCCATTTGTGGCTTGCGTATTTCTTTTGGACAGAACAGCATGTAAGATGTGGGAAAAGTGAAGGAAGAGATTTTCAGGGGATGGTGTTGACAGGTATTTGGTGTGGACAACCAGGACATTTTCAACCACAGAGAACAAACAACTAAGGGCTTATAGAGTGGGGGATGGAGGCCTGAAGAGACAAAAGCTCAGAATGAAGGACCAAGAGTCAGGAGGGAGAATCTTCAGCTCAGCTTGGACTCATCAGCCTGCAGCAAACTTTGGTCTAGAATGAAGAAAGAGTGCTGTTCACCTCTCCACCTGTCCATGTGTCTGCCTGTCTGCCTGTCCATTTGTTCATTCACCCACTGAACGTCAAGCAGGCTGGAGCCTACTCTGTGCCAAATGTCCCTGAGGAGCACCTGATGGGACATCAGAGAGAGGCAGCGAGGTGGCCCCTGGCTGATAGCTTGGGGGTTGAACAAAGGAAAGAAGTCATCTCAGATGCTTATGGTGATCACAGTCCCTTGTTAAACATCTTCCTTTAATTTCACTGTGGTCTTAGATGGAGGCCTGGCAGCTAAAGCAGTAATATCTGGCCCTCTTCCCGGAGTAGCATCTGGACTAAGAGGGGGCCTCTTGGCCTTGTCAAGGGAAGACCCCCTTGAAGACAGGGGTATGCAGGGTGGTTCCACCAGCCCCAAGGCTTGGTGCTCTGGTAGCTGGTTCCATCTCTCAGAACCACAGCTTGCAACCTGGAAGGAAATTCTGAGCTCATTCAGGATTGTGAGTGGGAGGCAGAAGCAGGAACCTTTTGGGGTCACTGGGCCTCCATAATGAGCAACGGCCCACCCACTTGTAGTCTCCACATGGGATGTCCTCTTTCCTTCGCTGCAATGCCCCACAGACATGTAGGGTTCCTGCCCAGTTTATGTCATTCCAGATGGAAGACTGGTCTTGTGCTTTGGCCACCCCTCCATCATGTATCTCCAGGGAGCATCTGGCATTGGCCACTTGGCCCTTGGAAAGCCCTGGGCCTCCAGAGCTGTGTGGTCCTTGTGGCTGTCCCCTTTGGGCCTCCTCTGCTGAACCCTGTTACCCACATTGTTCTGTCTCAGCCGTTAGGGTCCTTAATGCCTGAAGAGCTTCTGTGGTGCAAAAGAACACTCATTCATATTTGTACACTTGACCCTTGACGAACATAGGGGTTGGGGCGCCAATCTCCCACGAAGTTGAAAATCCACATTCCCCCAAATGTGGATTTTGATTCTCCTAAAACTTAACTATTAGTAGTCTACTATTGACCAGAAGTCTTTATTTTTCTTTTTTTTAAATTTTTTAAATGTTTTTATTTATTTTTGAGACCGAGAGAGACAGAGCATGAGCAGGGGAGGGGCACAGAGAGAGGGAGACACAGAATCCAAAGCGGGCTCCAGGCTCTGAGCTGTCAGCACAGAGCCCGATGCGGGGCTTGAACCCACGGACTGTGAGATCATGACCTGAGCTGAAGTTGGACGCCCAACTGACTGAGCCACCCAGGAGCCCCTCTTTTTTATTTTATTTTATTTTTTTTGAGAGACAGAGAGAGAGCACATGCGTGTATGTGCATGCACATAAGTTAGGAAGGGGCAGAGGGAAAGGGAGAGAGTCTTAAGCAGGCTCCACATTCGGCACAGAGCCCAATGCGGGGCTCAATCTCACAAACCAAAAGCTCATGACCTGAGCTGAAATCAAGAGTCGGACGCTTACCCAACTGAGCCACCCAGACGTCCCCAGAAGCCTTTCTGATAACACAGACACTCAGTCAACATACATTTTGTATGTTACATGTATTATATGCTATATTCTTACCATAAAGTCAGCTAGAGAAAAGAAAATGTTAAGAAAATCATAAAGAAGACAAAGTATATTTACTGTACTGTATGTATTGAAAAAAAATCAACGTACAAGTGGACCCGTGCAGTTCAAACCTATATTGTTCAAGGGTCAAGTGTACTTAGTTTAATGTCCAATTTGCTAAACTTCAAAGCTGGTGAAACACCCAGCTGGGTTAGATGGGAAAGTTCTGGAGACGGATGGTGGTAAGGTACGATGTGACTGTACTTAATGCCACTGAAGTGTTCACTTAAGAATGGTTAAGACGGTAAATTTTATGTTATGGATATTTTGCTGCAATAAAAGAAGCTGGTTAAACACACATTTTCAGGACAAACTATTTTCACAATTACCACAAACTATGAACTTTATAACCAGAAGTCTCTTAAGGATCCCATTAAGGCACCAGTCTTTGCAGGCCTCAGATGCTTGAAAAGCACCCACAGATCATAACAATAATAGCAAAATGGGGTTTGCTTATATGGGACCCAATCCGTCACGTGTGGGGCCTTACTACAAAGTGAACACACGGAGTCCTTGTTCAAAATGCAGGAGAAATGGGCCATTAAGGGTACTAAGATATAAAGTGCTTTTCTTGCTTCTGCAATCTCTCTCTCCAGCTGTCATGGTGCTTTTTATCTGCCATTTCGAGCCTCTCTCCGTTAGTTAGAGGCCTGAGGAGGCTACAGTGGGTGAGGGCTGACTCTCACGGGGACCTGGGGCACCACCCTTCAACTCGTCTCGCATATGTTCTACCAGCTGCCCAGTGCTGACCAGTGTGTCATGTCCCAGCCGGGGACAAGTTCAGCCAGGCACCTCCCTGTCCCACGGGTCCCTGCACCAACCCACAGCTGTTGGGCAACCCCAAGGGGTCACAAGCCTCTGTGCCAAGACTCTGGGTGTCTGGACTGGGAATGGGCAAGCGGCTTGTTCCCATCCAGTGGCCCATCAAATGCCCTGGGGCACTGCCAGCCCAGGGTGGGGACAGAGGCCACCGTGCCTCACCCTGCACTTGTGTCTGACCACAACCCTGCCCATGACCATGCCCAGGCCCACATCCAGGAGAGGAGAAGCAGCAACCACTGAGTGGGAGCAGGGATGGGAAGGTGAGGTGGGCCTGGGCCTCAAGGGCGTGGGGAGCTGGCAGCTGAGAACAGCTATTTCTGACACAGACTCACATTTGACACGGAACAAAAAATCCTCCAGGCAACTCAGAGCAGAGAAACGGGGTCCTCTCCCCAGCAGCTGCCAGGGAGTGGATGCATGCATCTCAGGAGCCTAGAAAGAACCCAGGCAGGCAAGCACATGGAGGAAGGAAGACCCCCCAGATGGCCTCAGACTTCATAGAGTGACATGCCCGAAGTGACAGAGGAATCACTGGGTGGAGAGGAGAAAACTAGGGAGCAACTCCATCAAGCAGTTTGCCAACCGGCAGTCTGGGGATGCGGAGGAAGAAAAGTAAATTGAATTATTGAAATCTAAAGCGTTGTAAAGGCACATATCCGAATTTTATGGATTTGAGCAGCTATGAAATTTAAATAAGGAACATCGGTGATGCTCCTTAATCAACCTGGGCTAAACAAGGAGACAAAGAAACAAAGAATAAAAATGACAGCAAAAAATTAACCAGGCAAATGGCTAGAAAAAAGAGCTCAGCTGTCAGCGGCAGAGAAGGCTTCCAAACGTCGAGCTCTCGCTCCTTTGGGGTTTGTCCCAGGAGGGACGTGTCCTGGGAAGGCACATCTCTTGCAGGATTTGGGGGCTCCGGCCTTGGCCACAGCCCTGCTTTCTCTGGCACGTCCACTCCCGGA